AAAAAAAAGAAAACACTAACCTGGCTGCGGTGGCCGCTCTACATATACTCCTACAAGTTCTATCCGTAATGGTGTGTAAGTTAAATTGTGCTTGTGCATTTGCGAGTAATAATAAACATAACGCCGTTGTGAAGGTATTGTCACTCCCTGAAATGACCGATATTAGGGATTCAAATTAAGTGAAAAAGTATAAACAGCATTTGTGCTGAACAGGAAGAATATTTGAGCAAAAGTAGTACACAATTGCCCAAAGATTATTTGCGTAAACTGGAACGATGGAAGCTATGTAGCTAGCTCAGAAGCGGAAAAAACGCAGTATAGCTGCATTTATGTAAGTTTGAAACTTTTACCAACCAACCTTATTGTTTACAGTTCTAACAATCGAGTAGTAGTCCATAACTTGACGCGGCAGCTTGTAGAAGTCTATGGAAACGAGGTACGCGCAAATCATCACTCCCGTTCGACCCTTTAATAGTTGGTCATGTTTTCGGAGTGAAAGCTCCTTCATTAAAAAGGATTTGAATTGGTGTTCCCGTGAAAAAAATTGTCGTAAAAAAATCAAAGCGTACCTTGCCAGCCTTGCAATGGACAGCTACCACATTTCGAGGATCGGCTTTCAAATACTCATTCACCTACAATCAAAAATGATTTGAATTCTTAAGGCTTAAAATGCAAAATCCTCACCTCTTTGCAGAAAGGATCCATGAGATCAAGACGTGGTGGATGATGATCCTTCATATGGTACAGACTTACTCGACCTTGAAACTTCTCCACTTTGTAAAAATAGTTCCCCCGTCTAAAAAAAGGGAGAACATCATTCTACTGCATAACTGTCAAGTAAACAACAATAGCGAAGATGTGTTTCGCCAAAAAATTATGTTCAACATTAAGGCGATGAGTTAGTCGAGATTTGAATATTTGACAAAAAAAGGAAAAATTATAAGAAAACAAAGATGAAAATATTAGCAAAAACTCACAAATTGAATACTTTATAATGTCCAGCATGATTGCGTTCCAAGAATTTCACCGTATGACACATGCTATTTCGGTAGAGACGCTCGATGCTTTTTGCTGGATAACCCATAGCGATTATTCGATCGGTAATATCTGAATCAGACGAAGGATTTGATTTCTCCTTTCTCACAAAATCAGATAAAAAACTTACATGTTAAATCAAGATTGAAGCCATCCTCGGTATAACGTCTCCGATTTTGGCTGATCACAGACCGTAAAGGATTAAAAACTAAGTCTACAACATCCTATAAACAAAATAGAATGAGTTGGCGCTAAATTCGTTGCTCCTAGTGCAAACTCACATTAAAGCTCTGAAAGGAAGGGTTTCGAGCCGATTCGGTGATTTGCGGGGTGGTGGGCAATGTGCTAACTTCAGCCGACGACGTCGTTCCATCACCATTCGAGGAACCTGGCTCGGAAGTGGATGTACTGAAATAAAGTATTTAAGTCTTCCGAGCTAATGAAAGGAAGAAATGGACAGATAATTCTAGAATATCTGCCACTACACAAATTCGACCATATCCATTTCTCAATAACTCATCTAATATATTAGGTTCTCAAGAAGTAAGAGATTTTTTACTACCCCTTTTGGAAAGTGAAAAAAAAA